CAAGGAAGCAGAGTCAAGCTCTGATTCGATTAGGTGGAGGGAAGCTATGAAGGAAGAGATGCAGTCTCTTCATAAGAACGACCTCTGATTCGATTAGGTGGAGGGAAGCTATGAAGGAAGAGATGCAGTCTCTTCATAAGAACGACACTTGGGAACTTGCAAAGCTACCGAAAAGTAAGAAGGTATTGGATGCAAGTGGGTGTATGCAAAGAAAGAGGGATCTTCAATTGGGGAAATTAGATTCAAAGCCAGATTGGTTGCCAAGGGATATGCACAGCTAGAGGGCGTTGATTACAACGAGATGTTTTCACCTGTTGTGAAGCATTCGTCGATTTGTATTTTATTAGCATTGGTGGCACAACTGGATTTGGATTTGGTCCAGATGGATGTGAAAACAGCCTTTCTACATGGAGATTTAGAAGAAGAGATCTACATGATACAACCTTTGGGGTTCAAAGCTGCAGAAAAGGAAGAATTAGTGTGCAAGCTGAAGAAGTCTCTTTACGGATTGAAGCAATCGCCGCGACAATGGTACAAGAGATTCGACGGCTTTATGATTGGCCGAGGGTACACAAGAAGCCCATATGACCCGTGTGTTTACATGCACAAGCTACAGAATGGTGAGTATATCTATTTGTTGTTATATATTGACGATATGCTCATAGCTTCCAGGAATACTTCAGCTATTAGAAAGTTAAAAAATGAGCTGTCATCCGAATTTGAGATGAAGGATCTTGGAGAAGCAAAGAAGATATTGGGTATGGAGATTGAGAGAGACAGGGTGAAGGGGAGGTTAAAGTTGACACAGAGGAGTTACTTGCAGAAGATGCTGAAGAAATTCGGTTATGATGGTAATGCCAAGGCGGTGAGTACTCCAATAGCTCCCCACTTTAAGCTATCAGCTAAGATGTCACCTGTTTCAGTTGAGGACCGTGAATACATATCCAAAGTTCCATATGCTAATGCTGTGGGTAGCTTGATGTATGCAATGGTGTGTACAAGGCCAGATTTATCACAGGCCGTGAGCATGGTATCCAGGTACATGCACGACCTAGGGAAGGGTCATTGGGAGGCCGTGAAGTGGATTCTACGGTATATTAAAGGTACCATGGATGTTGGTTTGGTATTCCAGAAGGATGAGAAGAATGGGCAGGATTGTATTGGTTACGTGGATTCAGATTATGCTGGAGATCTTGACAAGCGCCGGTCTACTTCAGGTTATGTGTTTACATTGGCAGGTGCACCGGTATGTTGGAGATGCACACTTCAGTCTACAGTGGCTCTCTCCACTACGGAGGCAGAGTATATGGCGTTGACTGAAGCTGTGAAGGAGGCTTTGTGGTTGCAGGGATTATTGGAGAACTTGGGGATTGCACAGGAGACCATTCGGGTATATTGTGATAGCATGTCAGCTATCTATTTGGCGAAGAACCAGGTTTATCATGCACGCACGAAGCATATTGATGTCAGATTCTATTTTGTTCGTGACGTTTTGGATGAAGGAGACGTCATGTTAGAGAAGATCCACACGAAGGACAACCCTGCAGATATGTTGACCAAAGTTGTTTCAGGTGTCAAGTTTGGTCATTGTTTGGAACTTTTGAACATTCTTCGGTGTTGAGGTCTTTGGAGGCCATTTGGGTGAACTACGTTCGGCTTGATTCCTTGGGCAAGAGGATACGTAGGCAGTCATGTTTGATGCAGTCAATTTGGATTAGTTGATTTTGATGGAGGTGAGATTGTTTGGACTCTCGTTCGGGTTCTCGACTTGTTGTGGATTGAGTTTGTACTGGACACAACAATGGGACTTTTGGTTGCTTTGGTGTCGGCTCAGTTTTGGGAAAACTTCACCGAGGTGGAGAATTGTGAACGCGGCTTTGAAGCCCACGCGGAAACCCAAAGGAGGCCCACCCGTTCTTCATATAT